CCCACTGTTGCTGTGCCCGCACTATGGAGTCGATGGCCCTCCCTGTTCTGACGCCTCTTATCGGATCTTATCAGCTGATATCACTCCCTGTCACCCACCAATAATGTTCCCGTCCTGCCATGTATATCACTTCTTGGAACTGTCATCCTATCTTTTCTGCGACGCTCGCTATGAATTTCGTGACAGCACGCACTACAAACACAACTACTGAAGACATACTTAGCGTTATTATACTATAGTAGGATAACAATGAATCAACAATATAGTCACCGTCATTTGCAATAACATTGCTCCACTTGAAGGCAGCGCCCACGTTCACTTGATGTTCCTGCGCCCTTCCTGGCTATCATAGCCCTCCCCATAGGGATGCAGTATGTACTAGTTTTGCATATCACAAAGACGAGAGGATAGCGCCTATCGCTGGTAAAGAGTTGACCTCCCCGCCCACCTGGCGACCACGACGCCCAACTTCATTTCTAATGGTTGCCTGATGGTGCGGTTGTTCCATTGCTGCTTCTCTCCACGTCGTGTGGTGAGAGTGAGGTGATAAGGGGAAACAGCTGATAATCAACAAGTGAGAACTCGTGCAACCACTCCTTCTCTTCGCTTAAAGCGCACTTTCCGTGATAAAATAAGGCTATGACCTAAATGTGTACGATCCGGAAGGAGCTTGCGGAGGCTGCGCTACCTTATAGAAAAGGTGAAATTCGCAGAATTCTCCACTTCAAGCTAACCAATTAGGCCCGAGGGCGCCCTTAGGCCCATGCCGACCCCAACCGGCTGCTAGCTACTAGTAGCCACTATGCTATCTCTCTTCCATTCCGAATGGTGAGAGTGAGGTGATACGATAAAAGAGCTGATATCTTTATGATAACGACGAGTGGAAATTCGTACAAACATGCGTTTTCTTCATTGCATGCATGTACAAGTTGGGGTCGATACGGTATCCTATTTAGGGCATTTTCGGCTGTTTTTCTGCTGCTTTTCTCCGCTACTCAGATACCTAGCCCTTTCTTCGTTCCTATGTGGGTTCCGTTACCCACAATCTGTGGTCGCGGGCTTTGCCTTTAAGCACGTACAACTGCTATTCGGTATGAAACTCCTTATAGGGCATTTTGCATGTTTTCTTTTTGATTTTTCTTCACTAATAGGTTTCTTGCTACCTTGCTATTACTACCTGAGCCGCATACTCATCAAATTTGAACGCGGGCGCTGCCTTTAATAGGCAGATCAGTGATCCCTCTTCTAGTGGGCTGAAGTTTGGGAGTCGAACAACTCGGTGACTGCCGAAATTAGATCATCATATTTCTTAGACAAGAGAGCTTTAAGTGGTCTGAACAAATGATAGTCTGACGGCGCAAGGTCTGGAGAGTAAGGGTAGATGTGCAATCCAAGCTCCTTCAATTTTTCACTAGTCGTCGAAGCGACATGAGGCCGAGCGTTGTCATGGAGAAGGTGGACGGTAGCTTTTCTTGGGCGCTTTTTTTCACAGCATCCGCCAATTTCTGGAGCTGATCAGCATACACGGTAGCGGTGATAGTCCTGCCCTGCGGTAGCAACTCGTAGTAAAGCATTCCTTTGGAATCCCAGAAACACGAGAGCATAACCTTTTTTGGGTGGAGGTCGGACTTCGGCTGTGTTGGCGGCTCTTCACCGCGACAGCACGATGGGTGTCGTACAGGATCCAACTCCCATCGTCAGTAATCAGGTCCTCAAGAAACTCCTTGCAATGCGGCTGGAAGACTCAGATTGAGCGACATTCAATCGGACCATCCTCATGCCGTCGTTCAACTGATGTATTCATTTCGTCAAAATGTCTCGGCATCCAAGAGCGTGGAGGCGGGTCTTCAACCATCGTATACGTGCACCCGAACCTGCTTACCAAATCCCGTACGGTAGTGCATGGCTCTTGTTCAATGGCCGAATCTTCGAGCACACCACGTCCACTACGAGGTCGACCTTCCACATCCGTCTCTCATTCTCGAAGCATTTATACCAATTGCGTACGGTACGATCGGTAGTGGTTCCTTCATCCAATGTTTCATGCTACAGCGGCTGCGTTAGTATGGTGCCACTCGTAGAAAAATATTGCTCAAATATTGGTGTTGCTAATTTCAGCCATGGTTAATGCTTAATGAAAGTGAAACGGTTTATGTACCCCATAGGGGCGAAGCTCCATGAATGTTCTAGAATATTCTCAGGTATACCGAATGCCCGGCATCCTTCTATATTGAATAGCAACTTTTCAAAAAATCGCAAAATACTTTATTGCCAACCTCATAAAATCCTGACTACAGTCTCAATCATTGTACAGTCACAATCCCAACCACTGATAGGGAGCAGGACGGCAGAATGGCTTGTGGCTTAGCTAGGTCAGATTTCCCACCACTTTTAGAGGGCTCAGTATGGCATCACTGTTAGAATAGGCCGTCGTTGCTGTGCATGCGCCGCATCCCACGCTTTATCCTTTGCAGGGATCATGACTATATATTGGGTTGGCACATAAGTAATGGCGTTTTTTTCAATTGAAAATTTTGTTCCAAAAGTGAAATGTTTTGCAAGCAAGCTTGATATCATCTGATAGGAAACTTCTCGTAGTATAAGAATATCAAAACAGCTTCGGTTGAGGGAATAATTTTTGTGAATTTTTTAGTCGTTGAAGTTGAAAGTGAAGTCGGCGAAAATTAGCACCTTCGACAACTGCCTCTATTTACGTCTACTCGAAGTGCTAAAATCGCTTAAGCTGCTCCATACATTTGGAAAAGGTTGAGCTAGAAGTCTCAGCAAGGGAATCTCAATAGGACGCTTTGGAACGAATTTCAAGAATTTCAAAGTTGCCAACCTTCACCAGAATGTTAAAGTTGCCAAACTTCACGCTCGCGATATTGGGCAGGACTCACGTTGTATCCACCTAAATTTATGGCTTGTGGTTAATGTTTCGCTGATTTATATTTTGCATATATCTAGATAGGCAAATTCGTGCGTGCTTCAAACACCGCAATGGAATCTGTTCTCCAGAACTGTTTACTTCCTGTTAATTTCAGGTTTCATTACGAAACGTGAGGTCGGTGAGAATTAGCTCTCCCGATTTCCACAAATTTTATGCTTATAGTTGAATGTCTCGCTAATGTGATTTGTATGCTTTGGTAGCGAAATTCGTGCTCTACAAAATTGCCCTAGTGCAGTTATTTAAAAATCGTTTTAGCTTCCTTGCTTTCAAGCTATAGCGCGTCCGTTTGGTAATTGGAGGTCAGGATGTTTACCGAGAAGGCATTGAACAGCTGGCTGATCAGTGGGAGGAGGTTGTAAGAAACACTGGGGAATATATCTTTGACTAGTTTATTGTGAATATCTATATTTTTATAGTGTTGTAAAGTAATTGTGTTTGAAATTTTTACCTGAGGGAAAACAAAAAAATTCGTGAGGTATGGTGGACCGGATGCTGCGAAGGTCAACATTTGTCGCGTTGTGCCTTTTTGTAGAAATTAAATTGTTGCAGCTGCTTCAATAACTAATATCTGTTACCTATGCCTTGCTCAAACCATTGACAATTCTACTGAAGCTGCCTCCAGGGCTTTGAAGGCTTCCTGTTGCACAACGGCAGGGAGAGGAAGTCGGGAACGCTAATTCTCATCGACCTCACGTTCCGTAATGATAACCTGAAATTAACAGGAAGTAAACAGTTCTGGAGAACAGATTTACATTGCATGTTATGTAGAGCACGAAATTTGCTATCAGAACATGCAAAATATATTAACGAAACATTCAACTATTAACATAAAATTTTTAGGTGGAACAGATCTGCCTAAATCGGCGAGGTGAAGGCTGGCAATTTTGAAATCCTTGAAATTCGTTCCAGAGCGTTCTATCGCCACTTGTTGAGACTTTTAACTCAACCTTTTCCAAATGTGTGGAGCAGCTTAAGAGATTTTAGCAGCTTACCATTAGAGTAGACGTAAATAGAGGCAGTTGTCGAAGGTGCTGATTTTCGCCGACTTCACTTTCAACTTCAACGACTAAAAAATTCACAAAAATTATTCCCTCAACCGAAGCTGTTTTGATATTCTTATACTACGAGAAGTTTCCTATCAGATGATATCAAGCTTGCTTGCAAAACATTTCACTTTTGGAACAAAATTTTCAATTGAAAAAAAACGCCATTACTTATGTGCCAACCCAATACATGTTACGGAGATGTGTTTCCTAGGTCCGTGAGTGGAACTCGAAATAGAACGTAAAATTGGATGTTGAACATAATCGACATTCGGTGAAGCGTGAAACAGTCCACAACAAAAAAGTGCAATTATTTGGGCGGTAGCAGTCGGTACTATACTTGGCACCTTCCCAATAAACTACGCCTACATCAAATATGGAGCGAGGTAAGGTTAGAAATGAAGCAGAGAGCTGCAGTATGCTCAGCTATGGTGACAAGCTGAGTTTGTCGTTCAACCCATAGACATTTGCACTTGTGATCGGACCGACAGAGACTCCTTTCTTTTGAGGGTTTTTCAGATGGCCATTTTTCATATCTGGTATGATGTCCGTGTTTTCAACGGCAATAATTCCATTGGCTGCTCAACTCGGACTGCCATTCCTTCTGGTTTTCAGGTTTATACAGGTATTGATTGTATTTAATTTGCTGCGAATCCATTACAAATTCGAACGCGACATTTGGAAACTATCTGAGGTAGTGCGTACAGCGAAAATGGGGGGGGGGGTGCAAGTATAACACTACATCAGAGAATATATCGATACGATGGAAGTGCTGCTTGTTACACAGTGGTTTTTCCTTTATATTCTCTAACTGTGACAAAACGGCGCCATCCCCTGTAAAGCAGGACATTTTGTTCGCACATACAAGGGAACATCGTTGTTGGGGAATTCCCAGAGGGGAGAGGGTCGTACTTGCTCATTGTTGGGAGGGAGCGGGGTCGTATTCACTTTCTGGCCTTTCTAGGAGTGGTGGGAGTGGTGGTGACTTTTCGTGATTTTCCTGTTTCATGCGTACTATATGTCCCCCCCCCCCTCCTCCTCCCCCGTTCGGCGGCTCGATTCGATGAAGGAGGAACAGGGGGCCGGAGAGGGAGGGTCGTACCAACACCCCCCTCTCCCCCAAAAAAAGGGGGTCGTACGGACTCGACGGAAACCCCCAACCAATGATGTGCCCTGACACATACGCGGTAATTCCAATTTTGCCCAACGAGCCTCTAATAGCTACAAAATGTTATGAGCTTCTTTACCACATAGTTCTTTCAATTTTTCATGTGAAACGGCACATCAGAGGTACTGGTACTGGAGCTGGGGTGGTGGAAAGGATCGTGACTCGATCAGTCTTCCACTTTTGCTCTCTAGAATGCGCTGTGTCGAAGGCGGGGAGAACATTGCTATCCCAAGAGGATGTGTGCTTCGGCAGAAGAACTCTTCAGCGAGACTAAGCCATGGCACGTCAAACTCGTCTGACGCAACTAAAGCACGTCTGGCTCTTTTCGTGCTGAAAATTAGAAAAGAAGTGCCATCACGGTATGGAGCAATGGTGAGGTTCAGCCACGTCTGGACATGTTGGTGAGAAGGTACAGAAGAGCAAAAATGACGCGGTTGTCTCGATGGAACTTGGCTCTTCCTGGTCATGGAGTGCCAAAGAGGCAAAGGAGTAATATTATTAGTCGTGTTACCAGTTGCCTCTTGTCATCTTGTATACATTGCTCAAACCGTTCCTCACGGCGCCTTCTGGTTTTGATGTCTCTCAACATTAAAACCTGCTGAAGGTCATCATGATTGATGTCAATTTTCAGGGACTGGGCTATGCAGCTGATTTCGCGGCAATAGGAATTCTCTGCGTACGGTGGGCTCCGCTATCACAAACAAGCCTATTCATCAGCATTCTTACCTGCTTCACACCAGTCTCAACGGTCATCACAAATCCACTGTCTGGTTGGGCAAGTTTCAAATTCCAATCTGATTCTGAATTTTTTTTAGGGTTTCAATTATTTGAAGATGAGTTTTTTTGCCTGATATCTTCAAACTTTCGAGAATCAAAGCTTTGAGGAAAGGTAGTGCGAGTTGCAGTGGCAACCCTGTAGCTGCCTTGTACCAAAATTATAAGCTAGGGGGTCAAGGCGCAAGGTAGCTCAAGTAGCTTCACCTGAACTTTAGAGACCTCGCCCGTGTTATTGGCGATTGTTTCGCTTTTTCTTGACTCGCCCCTCTGTCCAGCCTCTCTAACTAATCTAGACACAGCTGTGCCTCTAGTCTGAGATCCTTTCCAGAAAAGTGGGCTTGATTTCAATCGTTTCTGCAACTTCCTCTGCTTTCCTACACGGGTAGGTCAGCTAATACTTGTGCTTTTGTTTTCTGCCCCGCTACCTACGTCTTGTTTAGAAGGAATGCTTTCAAAATCACCGCTCTGTCACAAGGTCCGCTGTTCTTGTTCACAGTCGCCATCTTCTCCTATCCAAGGCGTCCTCTGCCGTGGCCTTCACTTCAGTGAGGTTTTTCTTGATCACGTCCTCCCACTTTTCTTCGGGGCTCCTCGTGGTTGCTTGCCTTATGCTTCGAAGTCCAATGCCTTTCTTATAGGGTGTTCCTAGGGCCTTCTTAGCACGTGCCCACCCTAGTCGCTGCTTCCCTGCATTCAGCTGGATTGGGGCTGTCTGTGTAACCGCTCTGACGTCCTCGTTTCTGACTCTGTCTCGTGTCCAGCCGCAGGCCCATCTCAGCATCCTCATTTCAGCTGAGTGGAGCTGCCTTTCATGGTTCTTGCAGATGGGCCAGCACTCACTGCCGTAGAGCATTGTAGGCCTTACCACAGCCCGGTACACCTTGCCTTTTCAGGGTCCTGGAGCATCGCCTATCACAGAGCATGGCGGTGGACACCCTCCACTTTATCCACACCGCACTTATTCTAGCCTTAACAGCCGCACTTATTCTAGCCTTAACAACCTGGTCCACGCTATCATCATGGGCCAGATCGCTTCCCGAGTGGCGAAAGTTCTTCACTCTCTCTCGATGGACTCTCCACGAGTGTCCTGGATGGGCTCGTTGCACTCTTCGGAGCTCAGGAACTTGGTCTTCTTAACGTTCAGCCGGAGGCTATTCTTGTCCAGTACGTTCTGCTATTTTTGCACCTTCCCCTGAAGTACTTCTGCTCTCCGCTAAGAGCTGACCTTTGGTGTACCCCAACCCTTATGCCTACCTCCCTTGTGAGGCCGTGCGAGGTACCTACAGCCTCCTTCGCCCCATCGTACATGTCCTTTACAACGGATATTAAATGCTCGGGAACGTTCCGTTCTCTGAGAGCCCTCCAGACGGACAGGTCGCGGTAAGCGATCGAAGGCTTTCTCGAGATCCGCTAGGTAGCAAGGTCGGTCTTCTCCATCACCTGTCTGACGATGAAGATGGCATCGTAGTGGACCTCTCGGGCATGAAGCCGAACTGCTCCTGCGAGATCGGAACGAGGTCCCTCAGCCTGGTGTTGACTAACCTCTCGTACAGCTTCATGGTATGTGCGGTCAGTCTGATGCCCGGTAGTTGGAGCAGTTCCGTCGCGTGCCCCTTCTGCTCGAAGATGGAGACGATTGTACTGCACCTCCAAGCACTGCATTCTTCCCTCGGCTGTTATATTGTTTGTGAAGGGGGCGAGATATACACCTCCAGGTCAGGTAAAACTCTTCCTTTTCCGCCTCGGAGCAATCGGATTGTGGTGCGTACACTGTCAGTCCAGTATCCCTCCTTCGTCCATTCTCACCCCTATGATTCGATCACTGACCCTGTTCACAGAGGAGACGCAGTCCTTGAGGGCTCCGCTACCGCTATGGCCACTCCGTTCCGCTTGGCGTCTCCACCATTGTAGAAGAGTTCAACCCCTCTCCAATCTCGCGGGCCTTGGCTCCTTTCCAGCGCGTTTCCTGAAGGCATAGGATTTGGATGTTCCTTCGTTCATCAGATCAACGACTTCTCTAGATTTTCCGGTTAGCGATCCAATGTTAAGAATTTCAATTCGAACTTCTTTACCCGAGGTCGTTCGCCCCTCGGTAGCCCTCGCATACTTACCACATAACTCGGGCGGCATTAACACTGATTCTATTGCGACTTGTCATGATTGTTGTGACGGGTTCCTCCATCAGCCGGCCTGTCAACCTGGGCCTGACGCTGGTATCGTCCCCATTTTTGCAATTTTTGCAAGGCAGGTTTGTGCCTCGGCAGGGATCGAACTCGTGACCTACTTCAGCGTGGTTGCGAACATGAGCCCCCTTTCTTAACCACTCGGCTATACCTGCCTTCTCAAGATATATTCGACTTACGAAAATGAATTTGTATAATTAATTTCATTTTCAATTCACCAATTTCAATTTAATTCACCTAGCTGTGAGGTAAAGGAGAGAAGCAATCCAAGACATTGTGAACCAGGCTCCTGCTGTTTTTAGGCACTGGACGAGCATGGTGAACAGAGACTCAAAGCCGCTCAGTAATAGTCTAGACAGTCGTGAATGAGAGCCCCGTGAGAGCCCCACAGCCGCGCACCCAAGTGCCAGAGATGGGATCGCAACGAATGCTGCGGCCGTATTTTTGTGGGCAGCCATAACTGGACTAAATTTCTGGCCGCAGCAATCCGTCACCAATGAACTTATTAGGTCATCCCATTAAAAAGTGCCGTCGGTTTTTTTCGAATAAAGCAAGCATGGCTCAAGTAGGTGAATCCCTCCTTCACCAATGACCCGCTCCCAGTGCCCCGAAAGCCTTTGGACCTCTGGTACCTTCGATTTTTCAACAAGTGCGAGTAAATTGCTGTTGATGCCAATTTCGGCGAATGACAAAACATTGTAGCGTTTGCCGTCGGAGAGTACTCTCGACTGACGAGAACAATTGGAATCGCTCGGCTTTATAATGGGCGAATGGGGTGATTGAACCCAGGTCTCAGTATTGTTTGTGTCCCAGCACTGCCCTACAATACAGTTACTAGGGGTCTGGGACTATGACGAGCAACGGTGGCTTTCTTGTAGTTGTGTGGTATCATCCATTTGTCGATCTGATTGCCGAGGATCAGGCAATATACACCGACATCTACGATTTTATTTTCTGTATAGAGCCGCCTAAAAGCCTCAGTGTAGGAATCCTTTGCTATGATGATCATCCACTTGCGCCCACGTAACCCCTCGTGGTAGAACTCGGGCGGCTTCTCATCTGCATTCATACAAAATTGACGATTGTGAGTTTTGGCTCGAGGTCCAAGACCACCCATATTTCATCTAGGGCCGGGGTGCGTTTTCGCAGTCGTGAATGACATCTCATGCTGAGAACATTACTGCTAGAGGTACAGAATAGGTACTGCGTTCATGCTTCACAAGAAAATTAGGTACCCATGCGCACACCCTCTTGACCATCCTCAGTTTATCGGACATAACTCGGGCAGCAGTTGCAGCTGGGATGTCAGACTCGCGGGGAAGCTCGACAAAGGTCCAGGCTCTGGGATCAGACATTCAGCGCTTGACTTCATCCACCCTTTTTTTGTGCAGGATGAACATTATGGGACCATCCAGGAGAAGGTACTAGCCTCCAAATGGTGTAGCCCGCTTCCCTATCCCCTTTGCTTTTCTGCCATTCCTCTATATGTCACGGCACTTTTGAATGGGATGACCTAATACTAAGCAGTTTCGATCAAACTTTGGTTCTCAGACAGCAACGGTATCGTCCACAGACATAATGTGCGTTCTGTAGAAGAGTTATGTTGGTGAGGTAATGCGCAAGTTTACAAGAAGACGGCAAACTAGTAAATGACATCCTAACTTCCTCATTTTCACAAGAAAGATATATTGGCAAAAGTCGGACCCGGGACTTGAATCCGCATCTCCCGCTTACCGGGCGGTTGCGTTATCTTACGCTCTACATTTTCTCTGCGTGATGTCGAAACCATTCCAGTTGTGCTCTTCAAGCCTCGGCTGGCGCTCTGCTTTTTATATCCACGCTGGATTTGGATTTTTGGTGTTTTGTCTGTGGATTGTTTTCTATCAAGATGATCCTCAACTGCATCCAAGTGTCAGCGAAAAGGAACTGGAAAAAATTCAAAGGGATAAGACGCAAGCACACATCGAAAGAGACAGCTTCGTTCCATACAAAGTGAGTCCTTTTTGAAACTTTATTGTTTCTGAAAACGGGACGCTACAATGGTCTCACAAGACCGGATCCAGAAGGTGGAAGCCCAACAGTGGCCAGTGACGCAAAGTTCTTTTCCGAAAACACACATTGATAGGGAAGAAGACAAGGAAGCCAGTTCTAGAGAAGGAGCCAGGAGATCCCAAAAAAGACTTTTTGCAGGCCATTCTGAAAAACAAGGTGATTCTGATTGTGTGGTGCAATGCGTTTGTGGAAATGGTAACCGTGACATTATTACTTGTCTATGCACCGACATACTTCCACGTGGTACTAGGATACGATATACCCACCACAGGTACGCTTAAACCGAGTCTCACTTTGATTGGGTGTTGGTCAGGACTCCCAATAGATCTGCTAACGGCCGCGATCGGCTAACGCCTGCGAAGATGTCGCACTCATTTGTTCCATTTTGCACAAAACGCAGTCATTTGACTTTGTTTGCTTGGCAGCTATTGATTCTCGCTGCCAAGAATCATATGGCTGCCACGTTTTTTACTCAGCAGTCCTGCCACTTTCGACACCCGGAGTCACGTTCTGTGATGACCACCTTCGTGGGTTCCCGCTATGTGCAAGGCGAGCGGTTCCGCAGCTGGTGCAGGGTGCTA